GATCCTCGACGGCTACGAGGCAGTGCAGGAGAGCTCCACGGACGAGGAGGTGGCGTCCTCACTTCCCCCGCAGCCCGCGACGGGCACCTCCCCAATGGACTCTACCCACCAGCAGCAGCACTCTCCCCAGAACGCTCATTCTGATGGGGCAGCTTCGCCCTTCACCCCAGAATTCTTGGTCCAGCAGCGCTGGGGAGCCATAGAGGACACCTGCTTTGAGATCCAGAGTCCCTCTTGTACAGATGCACAGAGCCAGATCATGGAGTACATTCATAAGATAGAGGCTGACCTCGAACACCTAAAGGTACCTCACACCTGAGCGTCCTGAGGACCCAGTTATAAGAAACACTTTCAGCAGAGGGGGGAGGATGGAGTGGTTGAAATGTGGATGTCAGTGAGGGTGCCCAGGTTCTAGGTCTGCATGTGTTCTTTGACCGTTGTCCGTGAGCGAGCCTGGGTAAGGAGCTGAGGTCAGCGTGGTTTATCCTGTGACAGGTCACTGGACAGTATAAGGTGTCTCTAGGAATGGTGTGTCTGTGTGGGTTTCCAGGTTTACAAGCCCAGAGAAGGGCTTGCAGCAGTCGGCCTCACCAGAGGGTCTGAACTAGCAGCCAAGTCAGTTGTGGTCTGGGTATAGTCATGCAGCCAGGCCAGGAAGTACTGCCGCTGGCTGTAGCCTAGTAATTACCCGTGGTTCCCTAGGGGGTGTTGGAGGTTTCCCAGATTGGCCTCAGTGACGTCTATACCCTACAAACCTGGGCATGAACAGGGCTTTTGTGAATGTGCATCCAAAGGTGTCATCTTTGCAAAACCGTCTGCGTGTCAGTCTCTGAGGAGAGGACCTTACCCTTCAACTCCGTTTGTGGACACGTCTGCTGGAGGCCATGCATTGTTTTCCTGACGTCATTTAATGGAGAGGCTTTAGGGACAGAGAGAAGTGTCCCTTGCCTTTTAGCTAAAGACCGGTCTCCTTAGTTTTAACGTAAACTTCATACAGCAGCTTTCTCCTCCTCACATGACCACAGGTAGTGGACGGTGGCTGATGGAACGAGATACCCAGGAGGCCTTGCAGGGGTAGCAGCTCCCATGCAGTTCCTGCCGCCTGATGTGGGGCCACCGTCAGGGAGACCCCCAGGGATCGTCCTCCTTCCGCTTCCTGTGTACATGGGGGACTTTTAAGTCATTTGTCAAAGGAGAAGAGTGTGAAAGGCTGACATTGTTTTCACCCCACTAACACAATTTTTAATGATGTTAATGTCAAAATTCTGAAACATGTACCTGTAATATAAAAAAAGCCTTCTTTTCAACTTTCCAACCTCTGTGTTTGGTGTTTTCTCCTGGCATTTAACTGAGAACCCTCTGGGCTTTATTTTACAGAAGGTGGAGGAAAGTTACAGCGTTCTTTGCCAAAGGCTGGCTGCATCGGCCCTCACAGACAAGCACTCAGGTAGGAGGCGGCGCGATCAGACTGGAACCCCTGCCGACAGGGCGGGAGGCTATCGGCCACTCTTGAGAGAAGCACGCTCCTAGGAGTTCGTTTCTTGCCCGTATCCTCCTGAGCCTCGCGTGTCAGGCAGAGGCTCCTGTCTGCTGACGGCTCTTCCCTTTCCGAGAAGCGCGGCGGTCGCCACTGTCCATTCTGCGCCCTCTCCACCTTCACCTTTCCAGGAGCAAAAGAGGGTGGTGGGGTGTCTGGCGAGTGTGAGGTTCAGAATGGGCCTTGCAGGGGCTGCTGTGACTCCCAGTGTACAGTCTGGTCCTCGGGCAGCAGGCCTTTCATGCTTGTCCCCACAATGCCAGTGTCCCCCTCGATGGCAGGGGGAGCTGCAGTCAGTGTGGCCATTTGTACCCAACTGCTGGCGTATTTCAGATGAGGCCGTTCTGATTCCAAAACAAGGGTAGAGCCATGCCCACAGACCACAGATCTTCGCGGGGTTCTTGTTTTGTTCTTAATTTAGTCTCTACCTCTCTCTGTTCCTTTCAGATAAAAGTTAGAGCCGCGTGGCCTGGAGGTGACTGCAGGTTGTTGGATTTCGAGCACCCGCCTTGTATCGCCACGTCCTGGCTCCAGCGTGGACGCAGAGACAGAGTGCCAGGGCCTGCCTGTGGAGCCCCTGGGTCAGCGCGTCCCAGGTGCCCAGAGCGGGACCAGTTCTTCACAGTCGGGCAGCTGCACTGGTCTGTCAGTGAGGGGACGTCCATTCTCTCGCTCTCCTCTCCCCGCGATGGGAAATGCATTCGTTCAGAACAAAAACCAAATGTATAGAGCTTTGGGTGTAGGATATGAAATTGTACTTAGACTTAAGAAAAAGAGAAAATCAGATGTATTTATTTGACTTCATTCCGTATTTGAAAGCACATTTTAATTTTTATTTTGCCTGTTCTGTTTCAATTGAGTAGTGAGAGTTTTAGCCCTACGTATTTAGTACACCCAAGGATCCATTGCTCCTGAAGCAGAGGTCAGGATATGGGGTATTAAGAGGCTGGGTAGAGGTGAAAAGGGGAAGTGAGACGGGGGTGGGGAGGAACATCTCGCCTTCACTGGACTGCACTTCCCGCCCTCTGCTGTCCAGAGGGGCACCTCCCTGCCGAGACTTGCGCTGTGCCCTGCCCAGGTGGCCGGAGCTGAGCAGGCCCCCTCCCACCCTCAGGCAAGCACCTCTTCTGCGTAGCTGGGATCAATCCCCTGATTAACAGGAACCCTCAATGTACTGAGTAGCAGGCACTTGAAAATGGGTGTGTTTTCTTCTATTGCTATCTTTTCTATTGAGGGTTGGGATTTGGGAGGGAGAGGAAAGCAAATTTTATTTTCTTGACTATAAATTTGTTATTCTTGGTATTGTTTCATTTTTATAATTATACATTAGACTTTGGCACTTGTGTAACATTATCCCTGCAGATGGCGCAGGAAGAACAGCAAATGGAATCGCTTCAGCTGGTGGCACGGGTTGGGGCTGCTGAGGGAGGCCGGGGCGGGTGGCCCAGAGTCGGGGTGGGTGGTCTCACTGAATCACTACTGAGTTGAACCATGGCTGTTATTAGCCACGGGTACTGCTGATGATAAGGCCAGTAAAATGTTAGTACCTGGAGGTTTGACTCTCATTTTGCACTGATGGTGCCAAAGGGCTCTTGGAGTCAAAAGGAGAGCCACGGTGGAGCAGAGGACGCTGTGGCGGAGGAGGCAGAGCTGGACACAGCGGCTGCAGAAGCACTTCCTGTCCCCTCCCTGCTGCAGCTCTCCCCACGCGGGGCCGTGACTGGCCTTAAACATGGCAGACCAGACGTACACTGGATACTGCGGGCGAGGCGTCGGGCCGCCCGCGCTCGGGCTTGGCAGTGGGGGCAGCACCCTGTGGAGGCCCGGGGTTCCAAGCCAGGGCTCATCCGCGCCCTCCATCACGTTGGCTTTCCGTGGTTTTCTATGTGCATTAGGTGTGTGTGTTTTGGAGTACTTTCGCCAACTAAAATGAAATCATTTGTCAAATCTGTAAATTCTGTTAATAAGCAAGGAGTTCAGCCACCGCTTGGATCTTTGTAGTCGGAAGGGAGCATGATTACTCCCTGCAGTTATGGTCCAAAAAACTGTTTCTCTTAAATATTTTTCTCACCATAAACGGTAAGGATCCCCAGCTACTTCTGTAAACACCACTGCAACTTAACAAGCTCATTTCTTGATGTCCAGGTTCCTCTTTCTGTCTTTTCAAAATGGACCTGTCTTTAGGTAGATCGACTTGGAAGTTTGGACCTCTTCTATGAATTGGAATTATATTTTGAGTCCTAAGCCAAGTATACTTTAACTCTGCATGGGATTAAACACTTTAAAAGCAGAAGCTAATATATAAGTGAAGCTTGGAACTTGGAACTTTCTGTATCTCTTAGGAGAAGTAAGTAGAAACCAAATGGTTACATTGCGCTGCTGGAAATAATGTCACTCCCAATGGAGGGTCACACCTGTAGCCACTTGACACTAACACCCCTGGGGGCAGTTAATCTGGAGAAAGATAAACAGAACGTCCATCTGGACAGCAGACACTACAGGGTAGTAGTTCTCAGGCCTCCAGTCTGACTCGCAGGTTAGAGCAGGAGTTAGGCTGGGCCTCTCCCAGCAGGGCCAGGAGCTTACCCTTGGCCACCCCTTGTCTCAGCTTCTCTGCAGGGTGATCCCTCCCTGGAACTGTTACAGGGCCCACTGCAAAGCGCTCTGCCCACAGCTCTAGCTCCTCCAGCTAAATTCCTCTCCAGATTTCAGACGAAGCCCCAGGACGAAGTCTTTCTGAAAAGATCCCTGGTTGGAAGTGTGCTTGTCCTCTCCCCCGCCCGCGGTCCCCTCCCCTCCCAGCCTGGCCTCCGAGCCTTCCGTGTCATTTTGGCCGTCATCCCCCTAGCCATTTGAGACTCATATTTTATCATCCTTTCTGGGCGATGGAATTCCACGTTCAGCCAGTCTCTGAGTGAGGCTGGTGACGCCCAAGTCGCACGACTCAAAGTGGAAATCTGTTTGCACACCAGAGGGCTCAGGGTGTCTGGCCAGGCAGCATCTCCAGAGCAAGGAAGCCGGTCTGTCCACGCCACCAGGACCGGCCGTGACACCGTACTCTCTCCTGGGGGCTAATGGCTCCTTTGCTATTAAGTGGCAAATTACCTTTAGAGTGTCTCCTTCGTCTTCAGAGAACAGAGTTATCAAGGCAAATTAGCAAGCCCCAAAGTGCTGTAATGACCACGGTGACTGCCACCCTAGAAGCCATGTATTCTGCGTACTTTCAGACCCACTGCCTTGGATTACTTGTTCCATTGGCTTGTAGACCCTAAATATACCTATTTATTATATTACCCGGAAGGTCTGTCTCATAGGCTTTTTGGCTTTCTTTTCCCCCAAACAACTGTTTGCCACTGTTAGAAAGGATGTTTAAATTTTTCTTTTGTTTGTCTTTAGGGGGAGAGGAAGGAACTACTATGATGGTAGAGGAGAAAAGTCCTTTTTTCCTCTCTTATTTTTAGAAGCCAGAGGAAATCCGGCTCCCTGTTGTCTTTCCCTCGCATCTTTTTTTTTCTCTTTGATGTCGGTTGGTTTCGTATAGTGCGTGGGGTCTCCATATTTCAACCTGGACGCGCTTTTCCCTGAAGTCAGTGTGTGACGTTATCTGGAGCTGTCAGAGCTCGGGTCAGTATTTCCTTCCCTGTCTGTCACAGAGGGCGCCACTGAGAACGGTGTGCAGAGGACCTCAGAGTACCCAGGAGCAGGGGCTACGGTCACCCTCCTGCTGGCTGCTTTTCCTCCTGGTATTACTTGCGTTTTGTAAGTCAAGTTTTTTTCCCAACCATTCTACACTTTTTGAAAGTGATGGGCACCTTTGTTCTTTCTTAAGAAAAGAGATCCTGTTGCCTCCTTTCTTAGGCCTTGTCCCTGGTTCTGAGGGTTTTGATAATACGTTGGTAGGAACAATAAAACGTACCTCCTAGAAGGAAGCCCTCCCTGCCGTTTCCAGGTGCCAACCGCCAAGCAGACGTCCTGCAAACCTGGTCACTGTAACGTGCACACTGTCGGTTATTTTTAATAAGCCTCTTCCTACTAGAACATTTTATTTTCCTCGTTCACCATACAATCATGTACTCTTTAACAGAAATTGCTTTTAAAAAAAAATCTGGAACTATCTTTAAAAAGACTTTATTAATAATCATGTATTTTTACTGATCACATTTTGAAATGCCTAAAAGACTTTATTGTTCTAATTATCCAGATGTACCTTTGTAAAATAGCTCTTTTATGAATTAGCTGATAAGGCTGTATGTTTCTGGAACAAAATATTGGTCATCTAAAAACTTTCTGTTTTCTGGGGCCTGGGAAAATAGAAAATAAGAGTTCAAATATTAAATAAGCTTAAAGGAGCAAGTATGTGGCTTTTTTATTTGTGTTCTTACTGATTGTCTTCTGCAAGTGACGCGGCAGACCTGGGGGGTCCGGGAGCCTGGGCTCACTCTCACGGCAGCGACACCCAGACACCTTCCTGTGCTTGAAATGTCTGTGTTGGGGCTAGCCGGCCGCTCCCCAGAGTGACAGAGCCCCGGCAGTGCCAGCAGCTGGGATGCACTGGCAGCAGGGGCAGCCTCATCGTGGTCTTCACGCTTTATCGAGATGTAACTCCTGTATCATACGACTCAGCCGTGGAACGGGTGCAGTCCAGTGGTTTTTGATATATTACATTATTAACTTTTTAAGATTGTAGTAAAATGTATATAGCGAAATTTACCATTTTAATCCTTTTCAAGTGTGCAGTTGAGTGAGATTGCTAGGCCAGCTTTATGGCTCCCTGGAAGCTAACTCTGGTTTCATGCTACCCACAGTGAAAGCCACGTCTTCACTGTCATCCGTCCCCAGTGCCAGGCGCTCATGGGCCAGTCCATCTGCACTTGAACGGACGTCGGCCCCACTCTTAACGCTCACCGATTCTTGGGATTTTCTGTTGAGGTTTGAAAAATAGGTATAATGTGACTTATTCTTCGAATGGCACATTTTTAAAATTTTTGATTCCTTATTGTTTACATTTAATTACTGTACATTGTTCCAACATACACAGTGGACTCTGCAGGCATGAGTATACCTGCTAGTCTAGTCAAAGATGTTACCACGCACATCATCGACAGGTAGGAATGGTGTTTTAGCTGTCGTCATTCAGGGGCACGTTGACTGACAGCTCAGAAGCGTAACAAAATATTTAGTGTTCAGTAGGCTCTGCAATAGGTAAGCCTTTTAGAAATGAACAATATTTGTACTTTGCAGAAATGAACCTGTCCATACTCTAAGCCCCGTTTACTAACAGAACATATGTTTGCCTCGTAGAACAACGAAATATCCCGTTCTCGCTTGTTCTCTCTCTTTTTTTTTTTTTTCCTGAGAGATATTTTTGCTGTAGGGCACATGCATTTGTTGGAGAGACAGACAGAAATAGGCAGGCAGAAAGCGAGAAATCACCCCCCAGGGAGGATGACCATGCTGCAATCCATTCTCCTCCATTCTCCTCTCAGGATCTTGGGCACGCATGCATACGCACCTGGCTTGAGTTAAAGCCACCGGGTCCAGGACTCAAACCACATTTGACTACATGAGAGTCCACCAACATAGCAATTACGCCAACTGCTGGTCCCCTCACTTGCTCTTAGATAACCATTTATAATAGGAATGGAGAAATTGTGCTTAGGTTGGGCATCACTAATTCAAAATTTTGAAATGCTTCAAAAGCGGAATCTTTCCAAGCACTGACATGATGCTGCTGTGAAAATCCAACACCTGACCTCATGGGACAGGGCTTAGTCGAAATGCTACAGTTCCAAGATATCGCATAAAATTATCAGACTGTAAGGTGAACATTGAATAGGAATGAGTTTTGTGTTCAGACTTGTGTCTCTTGGGACCAGCAGTTGGCATAATGGCTATGTTGCTGGACTCCCATGTAGTCAACTGCAGTTCAAGTCCCGGACCCGGTGGCTTAAACTCATACCGGGCACGTGAGCATACGTGCCCAAGATCCCTAGAGAAGAATGGAGGAGAAGGGATTGCGGCGTGACCATCCCCCCCCTCAGGGGGGTGTGATTTCTCTTTCTGTTCTGTCATTCTGGTGAGCAGACGTGCCCAATAGCAAAATCCTCTCAAAAAAATAAATAAATAAAAATAAAAGACTTGTGTCCCATACCTGAAATATGTCATGTACATGCAAATATTCCAAAATCTGGAATCTGAACACTGGTCCAAGCCTTTCAGAGAAGGGATGCTTAACTTGTTTTGTACATGAGCAGTTACTTCTTTTTTCTGCTCTCTTTCAGGCCAGATGACTGGGTCACCAAAAGTTTACTACCAACTTGAAAGGTGACAGGATCTGTTCGGATTAGAAAGTTGCTTCTTGGGGGCAGCAGGTAGCATGGTAGTTAAGGCACCCGACTCCCACATGGTTGACCATGGTTTGAGTCCCGAACCTGGTAACTTGCTTTCTTGCTTTCTCACTCTCTCTCTCTCTCTCTCTCCCCTCCTCTTTGGTGAGTGCATTTGCCCAGTAGCAAATTTTAAAAATAATAATAAATAAAATTAAATAATTCTTTTTAAAAAGTTGCTTCTTAACTGAGTTTGATGTCTTCTCATTTTATAGTAAATGTCATAAAACATCCCAGATAAATACAGAAGTGTAGGTGTTTCCTGTGTTGTCCCTGTAATATCAAGAACAGTTCCTGTCACGAACTGAAACACTTCCTGATCGTAGCTGTCAGGGAATACGTTTGTTTTGTCATCTATTGTGCTAGTGAAAAGTCATTCCCTGAGCATCCGCTGAGGCCGTGAAGTCGTTTCAGATGGGTGGAGCTCTCTTGGTCCCTCCTGATTAGGGTGCTCTGAGACTTCCTTGTCATTTAAGGTACCCTTTACAAGCACTTTGTTTTATGAGATCATTCTTTGTACATGTGACCCATAGGGTTGGGTCTGCCTACATGCACCCTCATTCGGAATGCTCTTCAGGGTATTCTTGGTAACCTTTTCTGTTGTTATTTGTAAGCCAGCCGATAGAGAGACACGAGAGGCTGAAGCGCCCCCAGTGGGGAGTGGCCAGACTGCAGTCCCTTCTCCACTGCTCCATCCTCTTTGTGTTTGGACACATGCACACATGCCCTGCATTTTCCAACCCCCTGGGGCCAGGCTTCAGACCTCATGGGTCACGTGGACTCTGTCTCCCTTAACCACTAGACCCCATGAGCAGCCCGTCTGGGGGGGAAATCTTTGTCTGCTGTGTATCATCATTTCACACGTCAGGTAGTATGATACGGAACAGCAGTTTTCAATGTTTCTGATCTCAGGGCCACTTTATACACTGAAAAATCAGTGAGGACTTGGGGCCAGCAGGCGGAGTCATGTTTCAAGTGCTGGCCTCCCACATGGCTGACCATGGTTTGAGTCCTGGACCTGGAGGCTTGAAACTCACACTGGGCATGTGTGCGTACATGCTCAAAATCCCAAGAGGAGAATGGAGGAGAAAAGATTGCGGTGTGGCCATCCCTCCAGGGAGTGATTTCTTGTTTGGCGAGCACATGCACCCTGTGGCAAAAATATCTTAAAAAAAAAAAAAGTGTGTGTGTGTGTGTGTGTGTATAGACAGATAGAGAGAGGACTTCATGGAGGAGCTTACTATGTAATATTGTCACATGGATTATATCTATCGGTATTCAGTGTATTAGAAATTAAAATGAGGGCCACCCCGTGGCAAGGTGGTTAAGGTGGCTGGATCCACACGGCCTAGTGCACAATTTGAGTCCCAGACCCGGCAACATTAAAAACATGCCGGGTGTGCATATGTGTGTGCACCCAAAAATCCCAAAAAGAGGGAGAAATGAAGAGGAGATTGTGCCGTGGTCGTTCTCCATGAGGGGTGCTTTCTCGCTTTTCCTCTCTCGCTTTCTGTCCCTCTTCCTAGAGCACATATGCCCTCTGGTAAAATATAAAAAAGGTACTTATTAAGAGTTTTTGTAGGGCCAGCAGGTAGCGTAATGGCTAAGGCACTGGACTCCCACGGGGCGCATGTGCCAGACATGGCAGCCTGAAAATCACGCCAGGCACATGTGAGAACGGAGAAGGGGTTGCAGCCTGGCCCTTCCCCGTGGGGGGTTATTTCTCTCTCACTGTCTCTCTTTGTCTCTCTCCAGAGAGTGCATGTGCCCTCTAGCAAAAACCTTAAAAGAAAAAAAATATAGTCTTCGTATGTTTTTTAAAAATCTCAACCATGTCTGGCTGAATTCTTTGTGCGGCCTATTGTGGTATGTCGAAGTCTACCCAGAAAACCCAGCTCCACACAGGCATGTATTTTAAAAGGGGAGCAGCGTTTCAACAGCCTTTCCATGTAGTTAGGGATATCACGCTTTGATACCACGCTGCATCCGGCCAAGTAGGAGAGTCCATAGAAGACAGCTGCCGTGCGGGTCTGCGCCGCAGCAGTGACGCAGTACTGTGGGCAGAGCTCGTCGGTGTCTACTCGGGGTGCAGACTGCCGTCTTTCACCCACGCGTAACCTTTCCGTGTCCTGTATTGGTTTTGCGGACAGCGCTGGCTGCCGGGTCGTGCGGGTCTCCCAGATGCTGAAACATTTCTTTATGTCATGTCAAAAACGTTTGTTAATATCACAACTGATCCCATCAGAAGAGTCTCATGGTGGTAGGTGCAAATTTCCCCAAATCTAGTTTTTCCCTGAGATCTTGAATTGGGTCGCTGGCAGCCAAGATAGTCGTTTCCCTGCATAGGACGGGCTCACTTTTTTCACTTTTTGAGAAAATATCTGCTGGATACTCAAGTCCGAACAGCCGTTGCTTACCAGTCATTCTTTCAGACTAGTCTACCATTTAAAAAAAAAAAGAAAGAAAGAAAGAAAGAAAGAAAAGAAAAAAAGAAGAAGGAAGGCATTAAAAAGCTAGTTCAGGGACCTGCACATGGCGTAACTATTGCGTCGTTTAACTCCCATGTAGGTGACCGCAGTTCAAGTCCTGGACCTGGCGGCCTAAAACTCACTCTGGCCACGTGTGCGTGTGTGCCCACGATCCCGAGAGGAGAATGGAGGAGAAGGAATAGCGGCTTGGCCACCCACCCTGAGGAAGGAGTGGTTCTCACTTTCTGTCTCTCCAGCGAGCACACCCTGTAGCAAAAACCTTTCTAAAAACAACAGAAAGCTCATTCAGCTCTCCACTCAGGACAGCTACAGGGGACTTTTTCTGCAGTCATAACTGGCTTGGTGCGTGGGCCAGCCGGTGGCATGGTGGTTAAGTCGTTTGACTTCCACATGACCGGCTGTCCCGGATCAGGCAGCTTGCTTTCTCTCTCTCTTGTTGCTCCAATTTAAAAATAAAAATATTAAAATTAAATTAAAT